GAAGATCCTCCGCATCGCAGTTTTTTATTTTTTTTTCAGTCCAATAGATTAAAATTCATACCTCATTATTTATTGATTGTACAGAAAAATGTTCTTGACGAATTTTGTAGGAAATTTAATGCTTTACAAAAAAGTTATCTTATATTTTTTCCGTAAACCTCACCATTTCAATGATATTGAAGATTTAAATTTGATGATTTTTAGACAAATTTCATTTTTGTTTATGAATTTTATAACTCGACAATAAATGACTATTAAAAAGTGCACAATACAAATTTTTGTAGGAAATTAACTGCTCTATAAAAATGGTGTCTTATATTTTGGCGATTAAATTAAGCGTTCAAAAGATATTCATTATCAAACTTTCATGTGTACTGATTTTTGTCTCTGAATATCTTTTGAACGCTTCATTTAATCGCTAAAACATAAGACACCATTTTTATAGAGCAGTTAATTTCCTACAAAATTCGTCTAGAACATTTTTCCGTATAATCAATAAATAATGAGATATGAATTTTAATCTATTGGACTGAAAAAAAAAAAATAAAAAACTGCGATGCAGAGAATCTTCCTATTAAAATTAAGAGCTCATATTGAGTGAGAATTGTTTTAAGGTGTTTAGGAACCCATTTTTGCGTGGCACTTGAAAACAAAAAAATAAGTCATTTTTGTGACCCACCCTAATGTACATATATGTGTATATATTTGGATTATAGATATTGAAAAAAAATTATATGTATATGAAAAACAAAACAAAAATGTTAAGCTCCTTTCTTCTAAAAGCTTTTAAAGAACACAATCGATAAAGTGAAAATTATTCGTAGCGGAATTCGTAGTCTTACACCACTTTCACGTACTTTCTAAAGCACCGGGACGCCGTCTCCATTGCAAAAGGATATTATTGCTTCTCTATTGGTTATTTAACTTCTCTCTCTCTCTCTCTTATTACTTCCTCTCTCAGTTTGCAGTTGATTTTTATCCATGACGATAATCGAACAGTTCTCTCTGTTCGAGAAATACACGATTAGTTTTGTTCATATATGTGTATGTCTACGTACACAATAGATACTTTTATATACATGTATATATATATACTTAATCATTTTTGTTAAAAATTTGATTATTGTTTCAACGTTCGATCTTTCAATCTATTCAAATCGACATTCAATTATCGATACTTGTACGATAGTATATTAAATAAAAATTTATATACGTGACAGGTTTGTTAATATATAATTTAATAGCAAACGAGATTTTCAATGAAAATTCAAACGTAACTAACTTATTATTATTTTATTTTTTTGTTACTTTATTCTATTCTAATTTTTTTTTTTTGTAGAATATCTTATCTGGTTTATTATGAAAGTATTCTCGTGTATATATAGTTTGATATATTAAATTATTATACTAACATTTTTAATTATTGTTATTTTGTTACTGTTGAGACTATAAACTATATTCAACACACATACACACACACACACACATCTTATTTTATATATTATAATCTTGAAATTATATAACAAATGTATTATAATATCCAGTATGGAAAAGAAATAATAATATGGTTTTAAATTTAAGCAGCAAAGTGTGAACTTTGAAATATTAATCCACGTTATGCATTCACTTTTATAATCATTTTAAATAAAATATCCAATTTTGCAAATAAATTTGATGTAATCTCACGAAACACATGTTATATAAAATTGCTAATATAAAATTCGAGTGAAATTCAAGATAACATTTCAATAATCGTATTTTAATTGAAATTGTGTTTAATTAAAATTAAAAACAGCTTTCGAAGTTTGTTTAAAAAGAAAAGAAAAAAAAAAAGACAAGAAATAAGGAAGGGGAAGCTTAAAAAATAATTCGTTTAATAAATTTCTTCGAGTATAGTTAAAGATCTTAAAAAATAGCATACTGTTGGTACTTTCCCCTATTTGTCTGTCTCACTTTTTTATTTTCTTCTTTTTTCTTTTTTTTCTTTTTTTTTCTTGTTCTTCCGTTTCTTTCTCTCTTTCATCTTCTCCTTGTTTTATCTTACGCGAGATAAAGGTGGCACATTACCGGTAACCGAACAGGTAAACAACGTGTGTGTAAGAACAGTTTCCTCGTTCGTGAATTTGCGCTAATCGAGGAGTCAAATAAACGATAAGAGCTGCCGGACACGTGAATATATTTATAAAATGTAATCGTATAAACGAAAAATCGATTTCCATTGCGAAAATAATTATTTATTATAATTATAATTATAATTATTATTATTATTATTATTATTACTTGAATCATAATGATTCAACTCGTAAAATAAATGATATAATAATAATATAAAAATATATTGTATGATGTCGTGTAATTGGCAAATTTAAATTTTAAAATGAAATCATCTTTTTCATTATTTTTTTTCTTTAATTTTTTTTTTTTTTTTTTTTGAAAGGGAGGAAAAATCTCTCGTCACGTCCTAATTCTGGTTTCACGATTTTATTAATAAAAGACACCTGTCAGTTTGATCACTTAGACTATCGCACATACCGACATACCAAACCATCGAGAATAATTATCACGCTTTTCCTGTCAAGTTGAACTAATTGGCGTTGATAAATTTGACAGGTGCCGAGGCAGAGACGTTAGAAAGCAAACTCCCTAACCTCCCTCCCTCCCTCCCTGGCATGTATGTGTGTGCGTTTATGAATTTATATTTCATTTTAATAATCTATCTCTTTTAAAATTGTTTAATCAAAGTTTCAAAAAAATGAATCTAATTGGTTTCTGATCAAATTTTTCCTAATATTAATTAATTAATTCTATAATTCATTCATTCATTCATTTATTCATCCGATTCGTTTGATCAATCAATCTCAATTCATTTTTATTTATAATTTCAAATTCAATTAATTTAACAATATCAATCGTTGTAATATTTTCTAATGAAAATCATGAAAATAATTTTTAATTTTTTATATATTATTAATATAATAAAGATAATTAAAATTTGATTTATTTTTTATTTCGGTTTCAGCCGTGGTCGTCCGATATTTAACGAGGCGATACATCGGCGAGTACAGTTCGACAAGCGGTGAGTACATCGATAAATCAAAATTTAATAAATAAATTAAATAAAACCAAGATAACACATATCCTATATTATTATTATTATAATAAATAATATAACCAAATATTTTAGTATACAACCACCCAACATACCACCCACCTAATACATACAAACACCCTACACACCCAATAGATCCACCCACCCAACAAATGCGCATAAGCATACACAAATACAATTTATATTATAATAATTATTATTATTATTAATAATATAATTAATGTAAAACAATATTTTAGTACACAACCACTCAACCAATACACCTAACATACCACCCACCCAATGCATACAAACATCCTATACACCCAATACACCCACCCACCCAACACACATAAACATAAACACATACAGATTCAATTTATATTATTATTATTATTATTATTAATATAATTAATATAAAAAAATATTTTTGTATACAGCAACCCACCCAACACATATGCATACTCAATACACCCACCCACCCACTACACACACGTATAAACATACATAAACATACATATTGAGAAATAGAAAGATATATTTAGGTATTTATTTAGATATAATATTATTATTAGAATATGTCGGTCCTCGTATTAATAGGATTTAATGATAGTCGCGTAGGATGTTACACAATATGTTCATAAATCTAGTTGCACCGATACCCATATGAATCCAACCACGTCTAGGTCCAATTAAGCTCAACGACAGAGTTATTACTCGACTCCTGGTGTCAGGTGAAAGTACAATGCACGGCGTCAAACCATTCATGTTTCTTTTGTGATCTTTTTTAAGAATCATTTCTGTTCTCGATGAAATTAAAAATAAAAAAATTCATTTGGAACATCGAAACATAGTGTAGATTTTACGTAACATTTTATTCTCATACATTTTCACACACACACACACACACACACACACACACACACACACACACACATATATATATATATATATATACAGTTAAATGTGAAGGAAGGAAAGAAGAAATATTTAATAAAAATTAAACGTAATAAATTGAAATCTTATAATAATGATTTTATTTTGAAAATAAAATTACATTCGTCTAGTGATTTTATATTTTGTATTTTTTTAAAGTTTCATCCAATTAACTTTTTTTTAAATAAAAATTGTCTATTGTTCATCTATGTAAAAATAATATCAATTACTTATATAGAATATTATTATTATTATTATTATTATTATTATTATTATTAATATTTAGTTCGTAGGTTAGTATTTTGTTTTATTTCTCTTATTTAGTAATATACGTGTTTTCACCATGGTATAATAAGAAATTAATTGTAAATTTATTATTATTATTATTATTATTATTATTATTATTATTATTATTATTATTATTATTATTATTATTATTATTATTATTATTATATTTGATTGATTGAATTTTCTATAACAGGAAGAACAACGAGATTAACAAAACACAAAAAACGACGACTACGTTTGACCATAATTTTTTGTTTTATTTTTGTTTTTGTTTTTTAGTATTAAACACCTTAACCAACCGGCTACCATTAACTTATTGTTTTTTTTTTTTTTTTAGGATTTTTGTTTGGTTTGTAAAATTATTTTCCAAATTTTTGTACAAACTTTTTAACTGTAAGTTGATGATTCATTTTAAATCTAAAACAGATCGAAATTATTTTAAAATACCACTTTAACATTTTCTTTTTCTTTTTTTTTTTTTTTTTTTTTTTTTCTATTTGAATATTAATTTCTCTTGTGCTGGGTACTTAGCTTTCTATGCTTAGCTTAAATGACTTTAATAAATTTCGATATTAATATTTAAATAATGTAGATATATGTATATGTAAGATCAACGTTAGATGCACATTCCTATAGAAAATATTATTACACTTATATATGTGTGTATTTGTATGAAATGCATTTAAATTCTACCGTTCATTTTAATGATTTCATTTATAAGATAAAGTCAAATAGATTATCATATATGGTGGTGGTATTCCCCGTTGGTTGTAAACGGGAAAACGTTTTAATTGCTGTTAATAAATATTTCTTTCTTTCTTTCTTTCTTTCTTATTTTTTTTTTTTTTTTTAATTTCTTTTTCTTTTTCTTTTTACAACGAGATATCTCGTCTACGTTTACTTCGTTACTTGGTACATCCTTTCGTTATTAACATTTTTTGTTTTTTATTTTCATTTATCATCAGAGATACAGAGAAAAGATATTTAAAGATTATTAATTATTAAAAAAGATTATTAATTTTTATCTAAATTATTTTATTTGTATTTATTTTTAATTTTTTTCTATCGTAAATAAAAATGTAAAAAAAAAGAAAAAGAAATCTTCAAATGTTTTTAACTTAAAATTTCTACTTTCGCGTTATCAAACATTATGAAAGAGAAAAATAAAAGTAGAAAATAAGTAAAGTAAGAGATTATATACTATTATTATTATTATTATTATTATTATTATTATTATTATTATTATTATAGAGGGTGTTACAAAAGTTGAAAGTTGATTTGATGAATCTTGATGAATGTGAAATACAATAAAAAAAAAAAAGAAATATTTTATCTTGTTTACCATAATATCGAATTTCTTGAAATGAACGTGATGTTTAACAAGATGCCATATAAACGAGAGGATTATCTTTCAACTTTATGCTACACAGGAGTTCCAGTTTTTTTGTTTTTCTTTTTCTTAAAGCAAACAACACTTAAGATGATATCTTGCGTTATTATTATTTTCGTTAGATTATTGTCGAATGTGAGATGAATTTCATACAACAAGACAAAATAAAACATAGTCAACTTTCTATTTGATTTATTTTTTATACTTAAAATTTATGTAATTACATTTGTTAATTTTTGAAGTGAAAATTTCTTTAGAATCCGGGTGATTTGAAAATCGTGAAACGGAAGAACGTGAAACCGATGAAACAAAATTAATTAATTAATTAATAAAATTCAATATATAATTTAATTCTATATATTTAATTAGGGGTGCCCCACCACGCGTTGCTGTGGCTCACAATCAGTCCAATACACACGTCTTTAAGTCAACGAATTACCTTATACCGCCATTTGTTAGAATCTTATCGAACTAAAAGAGATAATCATTGCTCTTTGTTAATAAACAAATAATTCGCAATAAAATAATATTGCGATTATAAATTGAAATATAAACGATCCTATCTTTTAAGTTGGATGAAACTGCACACAGTGTGCAAAATTTGATTAAAATCGGTTCAGTAGTTTACGAGTCCATTGCGGACAAACAACGTGACACGTAATTTATATATATTAAGATTGTATATATAATTTCTATATAATTATCTATTCTTTTAATTCTATATTATTTAATTCTATATATTAATTAATTAATTAATAAAATTCTATACATAAAAATTCAGTGTAACAATATGTTTGTCCACTAATAATTCCGAAACTACTCAACTTATTTTCATGAAATTTATTTTATTTCACGTGATTTTTTTCTAACTTAGCACATAGCACAATTTTTATCGCGATTTTGTTTTTTATTATTATTATTTTTTATTATTAATTTAAAGATTTTTATTTAGAGGTTATCTAGGTTCTGTAAGGTTCATTCAATAGATGGCGCTGTATTACAATTCAATTATTTGGATATATTCATGTCTTGAAGCTTGGTTTTCTTTGAAGGTTTCACTTCTATCGTGTGTGTCATCTGCACACACCTGTTTTTTTTTTTTATAGTCTTACGATATAAAATTATTAAAAAAATATAATGCAGTACAGTTTAAAATTTGATGAAATGCAATTAGAATTTTGTTATATATAAAAAAAAAAAAGAACAAAAAACATTTGCAGAGAATGATCGTGAGAAATGTGAGAATATTCCTTAAATAAATATTTATTCATTTAATTCTACGATCACATTTTGAGATAAGACATGATAATTATCTTTTGTGAGATAAAATGAATTAAAAATAAAGAACGATTATTTTCCTTTGGTATTTTGAATAACAAAAAAATTCTCTTCTCTTTTTTTGTTCTTTTTTTCTTTTTTCAATTTGATTATTTTATATACCTTCTACGTATGGTATTTCACGTGTTCCTTTATTTACTATGGGTACAATGGTCTATTTAATAAAATTTCTTTTGTTAATCGTACTCTCTATTATACTTTAGAAAAAAAAAAAAAAAACAGTGAATAAAAGAAAGGTAAAAAAGAGGTAAGATTTAAGATTTACCTTTTATTTTATACGAGATCTCTCTTCCTTTCTAATTGTTCTTCTCAATATTATTATATTAATTGTTCTTGTTGTTGTTTTTTTCTTCTTTCTTTGTAATTTAATTTCTTTTTTTTAATTTTTTTTTTATTTATTATTTAAATTACTTTTACGATGCGTGAGAATCGTGGAAGAATGCGTAGGGTACACGAATTCGCGTGCGTTTTATGTTAAATTCGTGACGACCGAGTTTTATCGACGATGACCGATGCGTACTTACATATATATATATATATGTGTACACATATGTGTATTTATGTTTGTGTTTTTTATTAGTACATATGCGCATACGTATGAAGGAAAATCGGTCGTGCAACGAATTACGATTTACGATTGCTACGAGTTCGTATCGTATCGTATCGTATCGTATGTATTATATATATGTTTTGTGTATGTGTATGTGTGTGTATGTGTGTGTATGTGTTGGTTGTATCTCAGTTGGTATGATCGAATAACGGATACATCGCCAAGTTCGACGAAGGATCAACGTTAGTCTCATAAAATTTCTTTATTTTCAATTTGACTTCTATGTCTTTTTTTTCTTTTATTATTACAAAACAATATAATTTTATTTAGATTATGTATTGTATCATAATTTTATCCAAAATGTTACGTTGAATAAATTTTTGATCATTTTTAATCCTTTGAGTGGTGAATACTTTTAACTAAAATGTTTTGTAGGAACAGAACAATTTATTATTAACTAAAAGATTTTAATAATAAATTATATTT